AGACTTTCAAGAAGAGATTGGACTGCCAATTGTCAGAAATGGTGTAGGGTCTCCCGCTTGGGTGGGAGGTTGGACTAGATGACCTACAAGGTCCCTTCCAACTCTGATTATCTGTTATCAGGGGAAAATTCTCCAGTATCCTCAGGGAACAGTTGTACTTCCCAGCACAAAAAGCTGTCATATCATGAGTCAAATCTTTGATCTGTGTAGTCCAGTATTGCTGATACTGACTGGTAACCATATTAAGTGAGTCAAATGTTCTCAACACAGAGCAGCCATTTGATATGGAAGATTTGCAGCAATCTCTTTGCACCATTTGCATGTCAGGAAAGAACATAACAGGATTCATAAATACACCATCATACATATAACATATCCATGGTCTATATTAATAGAACTCTATACAGTAGACTAAAAGGAAATATACTCAAGTATATTCAACAAGTATATCTTGGGAGTTGTTTGATCTAAGAAGATTCTTGATTTTAATAAATTGAAATCCTCTATAATTTATCTCCAAGAGCCAGAACAGAGAATTTGGGCTGTTTTTTGTCATTAGGAAAAGGATTGAAAATAAATTATCATCATAGTACCCTGAATATAAATTACAGGGAGTTTATATATTTATCTAAGGCAGGGGTCTTCAAAGTTGACAGCTTTAAGACTTGTGGACTTCAACTCCCAGAATTCCTCCTCCAGTCATGTTAGCTCAAGAATTCTGGGAGTTGAAGTCCACAAGTCTTAAACTTGCCAAGTTTGAAGACCCTTGATCTAAGGCATCTGAACCTAATAGGGCATAGGTTTAGATAACCTATGCATACCTTGCATGCATCTCTGAATTAGAGAGATTGACAACAGTGTGTTGATTTGCAAGGTAGATGTTGGAGAATTGCCAGCTAGACTGGAGGAAGAGGTCAAGAAAGGGCTTAGCTTGAAATTGTTGCACAGTCACAAACCACATAAGTATGATCTCCCCCAAAATGTATGAAGCCTTATCTGGTTATTCCCAAGGGAAGGCAAGCAGTCTGGTAAGATTCTTGTAACATAGAAGGGAAAACAAAGTTACAGCCTGAGGCTATTCACAAATGATTCTGGTTGCTTGTGCCTGACAGTGGTTTCTGGATTAGACACCAACCTTTAATATAATCTTATCTATATATAAAATAGGAAGATGAATAATTGGAGATCATCAGCAGGCCTTGGGATGTGTGGTAACAGATTAACAGAGTTGGAAGGGACCTTGTAGGTCATCTAGTCCAAACCCCTCTCCCCGCCCAAGCAAGAAGCCCTATACCATTTCTGACAAATAACAGTCCAATTTCTTCTTGAAAGCCTCCAGTGATGAATCTAGAATTGTGTGATCATGCTTGGGGCAAAATTAGGATTTAAGTTGTGCTTACAGTATGTTGACCATAAACTAACCAGTGGCATGAGTACATTAAGGCTGATTAGCTTGGTCTGCATCTTCTCTACCTTATTAAAATCCATTATATAAAAATCTTGGTTGACCTAAGTCATGAATAAACTGTCCAATTAAAAACTGGTACAATCTTGTCAAGTATGGTTAATTAATATTTACTTGCTTGTTTATTGAATATATCATATTTATATCCCACCACAATTGTACACAGAATTTTATTAGCTTGCAATTTGAAAGAAAAATAACCATTAAAATTTTATAAAATAAAACTGATAGAATAAAATAGACAAATCTATCAAAAGGCATCAAGCTCCAAATGCTCTCAGTGTAACACTCCATTTCAAGAAGCTTCCAGAAGGTGACCAGATTGCATGCCATGAAATGAAGGGATAGATTTAATTATAAATGAAAAGGCTAATTGTCTGTTAGAATATATAGCTTGGTATCATATAGGTTGCTATAGGTGTACATGAAAATAGGAGTCCAGAGGTCAGTGATGTCGCATGTTATGTTTCAATAATGATAATAAAAAAACTAGACATGAGAAGTTATGCATTGTTCTAAATTATTACAATGACTGAAAAATTGTCATAAAGAAGATACGGAAGTTGCTTGGAACAGTTAAATGTAATTTTATTACACCATACTGCAGCACTGTTAGTGTTTCACTAAGGATGATTAGTGAAATGAAGAAGTGAAAAAGGCTGTGAATGAGAAAAAACTGTGCATATAAAAGATTGCTGCAAAAATAGGGAAGGAAGAAATAATATCTCATCATGTACATAGAGAAACAGTTGCAAAGAACACAGCCAAAGCAAGAATTGTAAAGGATAAAACAAGAAGAGAAACCATAGAGCAATTTTCATGGAAATAAGCTGTTTTGCAAATAGACAAAGAAGTTAAGCAATTTTCCTCCAGCAAAACCAATGAAACAATTTAAAAAATAATAGTGATGCATTTATTTTGGATGAAATGGAAATGCAACACAATTTCCCCATAAGGAATAACGTAATGAGTCACAAGGCAGTAGCCGACATCAACAAGTTCTAGCTTGTGCATTGAGTACCAAACAAATCAATACAGGAACAAATATTTTTGGGTAAAAATGCATTGAGTACCAAATTCTCTGAGTTTCAAAGCAGTTGAATACCAAGGTACCATTATATATACTTGCAGATGAACCCATATGAGGATAAACTGAATCCAATGTTGGGGTGCCTTTTAGTACCCAAAATTCTTAGCAAATCTGCAAGTATATAAAATAGTGGTAAAATAGTGGTAATGTTAAAATATGAATTTGATTTGCTTCTAGATTGACTATTCATTTGTCCAATGTGTGGGTGAAGCCTGCATTTGTTCTTAACTGTTGGAAGAAAGTTGATACTGTTTCCCTATGTAAAGGAAAAGGTAGCAAGAATGAATACAGTAACTACAGGAAAAGTTAATTTGTTGTGTGAAAAAGTATTTTGACAGATTTCTGACTGAAAGGGAATGAGAGGTGTTGACGAACAACATTTGGAAAATGTGGTTGTAGCTTTATGCCAGGCAGGAGGAGTACAACATAGATCTTTGCTTGTTTGTAGATCATTCAGGAATGTTTTAATGTTTAACACACAATAAAATGTATGTTTGTTGCTTTAGAGAAGTGTACAACAGAATAAATTCAGTTGAATTAAGAAATGCTTTGTGCAAAATGAAGGTTGGTTGCTGAATGATAAGAATGGTATATATTGGAAATCCAGCATGCAAGGAAGGAAATAGAATGCTTCATGTACAGTTCAATACTGAGCAGGGAACAGGTTGTTCAATATAATAATGAAGATATAAGGAATGCATGTGATGGTGGTAGGGTACTTTGTATGCAGGTGATGTGCTCTGCAGTGACTTAGCTCAAATGCTTTACGGCAAATATTAGACAGATTGTACAATCCAATAAGGAGCATGGATCTGAAAAGTTAAGTATTAAAGATCAAGGTAGTTAAGTTTGATGGGAAATATGCATTGAATAATTGCACATTATGTATAAATGGCTGAAAACTGGAGCACAAATATCCCTTTGTAAACCTTGATTCTATTTGCTAAAGATGAGGAATTGGATAAAAAAGCTATGAAGATGGGGAAATACTGGTAGAAAAATAATGCACAATATGTGGTCCATTGTGAAACGTGAATGTTGAAAGAAACAAAAATGGCTGTATCTAAAGATGGTTTTCTGCTTATTTTCTGTTACATGGGAGTGAGAGTTGTGTGTCAGAAAAACATCAAAACATCTTCAGTGTATAGGTAATCCTCGACTTGTAACAGGTTTTTTAGCAACCATTCAACAAGAGCATTGGAAAAGCAACAGCATTGGAAAAGTGACATGACTGTTTTTCACACTTGCAACCATTGCTGCATCCCCCTGATCACATGATTAAAATTCAACCACTTAGCAACTGACTCATATTTATGATGGTTGCAGTGTCTTGGGGTCACATGATTACCTTTTGCGACCTTCTGACAAGCAAAATCAATGGGGAAGGCAGGTTCACTTAATAATGTGGTCGAAACAAGGATAACTTGCAAGATAGAACAGTATGGAAAGATACACTGAATAATGTTAACAGAAACTAGATTTAGTGTATGTTTTCCTATCTCATGCCTTTAGGTTATATGACTACTATTTCTGACTCTCTTTCTGCCTTTGCATAACATCCTTTACCCCAAAAGGGAATAGCATAAAGATCCGTAATATATGTAGTGCTAGCAACAGCATTTAGACTTATATACTGCTTCATAGTGCTTTTACACCCCCCCCTAAGCAGTTTACAGAGCCAATATATTGCCTCCAACAATCTGGGTCCCAGTTTTACTGACCTCGGAAGGATGGAAGGCTAAGCTAACCTGGAGTCCATCAGAATCAAACTCTGGCAGTGAGCAGAGTTAGCCTACAATACTGCATTCTAAGGGCAGTAACTCTATTGAATTCTACTGTAAGTGCAATATTAATACAATATCAGGGGTTTTCAATTCAATGTATACAATGTGAAGGATGTGTGTTTGTGTTTATTTTCTTAGTCATAATGTACACTGAAGATGGTATTTAATTTCATTGTACGAGGTGCAATGACAATAAGGTAAACTAAACTAAACCACTTGCATCACCATGGCTCTTTAGAGAATTGAATGTACATGCAATTTTTGCAAAGAATAATAGCTGTAGAAGTTGCCCACAGTCATTTTTTCCTTATATCTGTCCAAGAATACACAGAACTAATGTGAAACTTATTTCTGGGAAGACAAGACTCAACAGCCCTGATAAAAAAGAAGCTTTTCAATCGTGATTCCAAGGTGCAAGTGTATTATTTTTGCAGAACATGCATTTAGGCACTGAGCCTGCTTTTATCAGTCTTCTACCACCCATTGTCTGGATCATTATCTGCTGTCTATTCCTATTAGTAGTGGCTCTCCAAAGAAACAGAAACTTCTCAACTAAGTTATCCTTTTAGCTGGAGATACTAAGATTTAACCCTGGGATCTTCTGAACAAAGATTCTGCCCTGTATCTTCTGTTAACTTTTCAAATGTGATACATTCTGTAGGCCAGCAGAAGGATCAAGGAGGCGACGAGATCTTGGGAGAGTTGCTAATAGCACCATGGTGGCTCCAACCATGCTGGGCTTGCTAAACATGTCCACGACAACACCGGAGGTCCCAGAGGAACCGAAGCCTTTTCAGATGATGGTTTTCAAGGAGTCCGTAGTCATATCCAACTTGCAACACTTCACAGGGTACCGGATTGAGATCCAAGCCTGTAACCGTGAAGCTTTAACAGTATGCAGCGTTGCAGCCTATGTCAGCGCCAGGACCATGCCAGAAGGTGAGAAAGCCTTTCCCAATTGGGTCCTATCTAATCAGCATGTTTACAAGACAAAGCACGAAGCAGGCTTGCTAATTTGCACTGATTGGTTTTTTCCCCCTTCTGGTTCTTTATCTATTAGTGAAAGCAGATGACATCGTTGGACCGGTGACTCATGTGTTAATAGACAAGAATGCAGTCCACTTAAAGTGGCAGGAGCCGAAGGAGCCAAATGGCCTGATCATCCTCTATGAAATAAACTATGGACGCCTTGGAGACTCAGAGGTGAACCTTCATCCCTTTACTCTTCTTTCCTCGGGTGCTGTCTGCTTTCCCCCCATGCTTTTGTATAACATTTTAGGAAGAAGGGTGATTGGAGTTTAATAGACTTTTCCTCGTGAAACAGCACTCTTTCTCTCTGTGTATGTGTATAAGAGAGAAAGAGCATGCCTAGTCGTTTCTTAGTTCTGACTGTACCTGACCCCAGCCCTGAGAAATTAGAACTCTGTTGTGGGATGAGTAGTGCTGCACATCAATACTCATTCATCCTGCATTACACGACTGACCACAGTTTCTTTGTTGGGACTCCCTGAACACATTCCACACATGTAACTCTTCTTTAGTTCACATGGCACCTCTCTTGGGCAACAGAACACCCAGTTATCTCCCCTCTATCCTTTAGGAACAACGCCATTGTGTGTCTCGTCGACAGTTCTCCAGTGAGCAGGGCTACAAGCTGAAAGGGCTGCAGCCTGGAAACTTCAGTGTGCGCATCCGAGCTACTTCCTTGGCTGGGAATGGGTCATGGACAGAACCCATCTACTTTTACATTTCTGATTATTGTAAGAATTATCAATATTTCTTGGCGCTCTGAGTTTCTAATTATTTGTTGGGTGGGGGAGGTATCAGAAGCATGAAGAAATGGCTGGGGTCTCATCCCTGCCCCCAGTGCATAGTGCCTTCTCATGCCCTATCCTGTGAGAGAAGATGGCCACCAGGAACTATTATCTCTGACATCAGGCTAATCTTCAGAAATAGTTGTACTGGATGTTGTGAAACACAGATTGGGAGGAAAGTCAAAAATCCTGTCTTACGTTGTACTATATATCTTTTTTTTTTAACTCTAGTGAATGCTCCCACCAATCTTATAGCCATCATTGTTCCAATCATTTCCGCTGTCTTTTTAATCATGTTTATTGGAGGAGCTTATGTCTTTATCAAAAAAAGGTAAGTTTTTTCAAAATATTGCCCGTTAACAATGCATTGAGATACAATCAACTATCCATAACAGACTTAGTTAAATTTAATTCACGCTTAGTTGCTGCTGACAGGAAAACATGCATGCACGAATAGCTTCTTCTCCCTCATCAGTAATAATTGTTTGATTTCTTGTATACATTCTTCTTTACTATGTAGAAAACTCTACCTCCCTTCCTGTGTTAGGCCTATCATTCCAAACTATTAAATTTCATTTGGATTGTAAAAATTATTAATCTATGGGTTTTGGAATTTTTCCTATGACTGGTGTGGTACCCTTCTGTTTTAAATATAATTATTGGGTTTTTTTTTCTAATCCCTATACTACTGTGAACAGCTACTTTGCCAATAGCAAAAGTTTCATGATAAATGGTGCTTGGTCTTACTTCACTCCTCTTTTCAGGCAAACAGAAGGACCAACAGGACCACTCTATGCGTCTTCTAATCCAGAGTATCTCAGTGCCAGTGATGGTGAGAGGCAGTTTGATTTTGTCTGTTGATTTTAATTTTTTTCCTCAGAGGTTGTGACCAAATGTTTCAACATTTTTAAAAAGTTGTTGTTCTCCATAAGTGGGAGCGTAAGATAATTTGAGACAACACTTCTTGTTCTTCACTATTTACTTTAAAAAATAGGAAGTAAGGTGTCCCGTGGAGTCCCACAGATTTGGTCCTATGGCTGGTAGTTTCCAAAATGTGGATGAAGAGCTGAAAATTTCTCATCCAAATTTGCATATGGAATAAAACTGCTGGGATATATTTTTTTAGTAAAAGACAGCAACAAAATTCAAAATGGCTGGATTGCTTGAAGAAATGTGCTGAAAATAACAGTAAAAATTAAGAGGGACAAATGCAAAATTCTTTATTGTACCTAAAAAAAAAAAGAAATCCAATAGTCAGTTGTAAGATGGGGGATACTTGGCTTGGTAAACGCTTACGTGAAGGGAAGGACTTGGTTGGTTGGAAAGGTCTCAATAGCCTACAAGTCCTTTCCAACTCTGATTCTGCCTTGTGAAAAAATGATTAATGGGTCAGAGAAGGAAGCCATGAACCAAAGATATAAAAGAGGGGAAGGTAAGGTAACCAAAGTAGGATGAGAAAGTTTTCACGGTGAAAGGACTCAGGGATGGATTTCCTGAGATACACTCCAGTTTTAAGGGCTTATAAAGTCACCACAGAAGGAAATTTGGCTAGGAAGTACATACTGCCTTCCAAGTAAATGGAAGTTGCTGTGTAAAGGGAACACAGAACTTTACCTTTTTTGTACTGAAAAAGTGACCAGAAACCAGGAGATTTTTGAGTTGTAATCCCACCTTAGGTGTGAAAAACCAGCTGGGTGACTTTGAGCCATTCTCTCAGCCCAGCTCATTTCATACAAGGTTGTTGTTTTGAGGGGAAAATAGGAGGAGGAAGGAATATTAGATATTACAATATTAGATATATTAGCAGCTTTGAGTTATCAAAAATAATAATAAAGGAATTAAAAACTAAATATATATGTAAATAAAAATAATTAAATTATAGGAGAAAGGAAGGAAAAATTAATACCCTTCAGTTCCTGTAAAATTTACCTGTCTGGAAGTCTTAGTTGTAATGACACTTTTACAGGACAATTACAGTTCTGTTTTGGGTTGTTCAACCTTCTGTAGGAATGTGAGAAAAATAATTGTAACTTACCATGGGAAAATCCTGCCTTAATAGAAAACTGTTTTAGTTTGGAAGAGGTTTGGGCCTAGCTTCAAATGTGGGATTTCGATCTACCTTCTTATCTGGATTTGAGATCAGCCAGTTTTGGGTTGATTGATCCTTTCTCCTCTTCCCTCTCTACCCATAAACTACAGTTTACATCCCTGATGAATGGGAGGTCCCACGGGAGAAAATTGCCCTCCTGCAAGAGCTGGGACAAGGCTCCTTTGGCATGGTGTATGAGGGAATTGCCAAAGATATTGTGAAAGGCGAGGCAGAGACACGAGTAGCAGTCAAAACGGTTAACGAATCTGCCAGCCTGCGTGAGCGTATTGAGTTCCTCAACGAGGCATCTGTGATGAAAGGTTTCAGCTGCCACCACGTGGTAAGAGGGGAACACTGCTGCTACTTTCTGGCACATGTTTATGGTTTGGGGGAGGAAGGCCTATCTTATTCAGCTTGCACTGAGAAGAAGTCTTTGCATCTTTATCATAACTTCTTGGTTTTTATTTTTATTTTTAGCCTTTTCTCAGTAAGAACTATGAGGACATAGATGATGCAATGAGGTTTTCATTAGAATAAGAAATTTCTTTGGAACTGCAATAGTTATAGGATAAAACCAGGGGTGGAATTCTACTAGTTCGCACCTAGAACCGGTTGTTAACATTCTAAGCAGTTCAAAAAAACGGTTGTTAGAAAAAATTCCTGGCCTAATCCTGTAAGGAAGGCAGGAAGGAAACATTCTGGTGTTGCTTACAGAAACTGCATCTCCGTTAACCTTTATTACATTCTTGGCAGGACTAGACTTCCTGTCTCAGGAACTTTTCTGGAGTTTTTTTTTTTCCCTTCCTTTGCTGGTACTTTGCTTGTGTGGAGTGACCATTCAAAGTTACAATGGCACTGAAAAAAATGACTTATGACCATTTCTCACACTTATGACTGTTGCAGCATCCCCACAGTCATGAGAGGCCAGGTGAGGAGATGCATGCCTCGATGTGAGTGATATTGAGTTGGCCACATTCAGCCATGAAGCCAACATGACCATGAAGCCACGCCCACCAACTAAGCCACACCCACAGAGCCGGTTGTTAAAAAAATTGAATTCCACCCCTGGATAAAACATATATTTTGTGATGGAGGGTGTGTTGGATCAGCAGTTAAAGATACTGAGCCTGACAGCTCGCCATGCAACAGGGTGAGCTTCTGTTCCTGCCGGCCTAAAAGTTTGAAAACATGTAAATACAAGTGGATAAACATGTTCCACTTTGGTGGGAAGGTAACAGCATTCCATGCACCTTGCCATATAGTCATGCTGGTCACATGACCACAGAAATATCTTCAGACAATGCTGGCTTCTTCAGCTAAGAAACAAAGATGAGCACCACAGATGGAAATAACTGGGCTGGGGAAACCTTTACCTTTTGTGTTGAGAAGGTTCTTGGTGAAATTATTTGAAACCACAGCAAGGAAGGAAACACTCCAGAATGCTTTGAACTTTGGAGAATTGCAACAATGCCAACTTAGAAAGCACCAATGGGTTTGTTTTCTTCAACAATAACAAAAGTCCTCTTTGGTTTTGAAAAACATTACAATATTCTCTTTTACTCTTGGAACATTATATCTTCTCCTCCTCCTCTTCTTTATTCTTCTGTTGTTACGGCCCACTCATAACATGACTTTGGCCAGCTAAACAATTATCATGCCTTGGTGACTAAGAAAAACAGAAGCAACCACAGCACTAAGACAGGCTTATTCAGCAGCCTGGCCCAGCATCCAGATGAAGAACTAGATCTTTATCATGTTGCAAGAGGCCATCAGTGGCCAGTGAGGCACATCTAAATTTCTGGAAATAGGGCTGTTTCATAGGGCAGACACAATGACAGAGAAGCCATTTCTGGTTCCTTTTAGATGACATGGTTTAACATAAGAAATCTAGAGTATGCCTACCCTGACAGACAGTGTGCCACAAGCAGAAATAATAATGGAAATAGGTAGTCCCACAAATGACCTGTGCTATGAAATTATTTATAGGTAAAAACCAGCACCTTGAATTGTCCTAGAATCCCATTGGAATCTAATGCAACTCACTAAGTGTGTCTTAAAACTGGCCTTTCTTCTTACTTCTCTCATTAGGTTCGTCTCTTAGGAGTAGTATCAAAAGGGCAACCAACACTAGTAGTTATGGAGCTGATGGCACATGGAGACCTGAAAAGCTATTTGAGGTCTTTACGGCCAGATGCAGAGGTAAGAGTTTGGCACGACTGTATTTGTGTACAGAAATGAGGAAATGGGAAAGATGAAAAGGAGATCGGGTTTGTATCCCAACGGCTAAAAATAGTTTTGGCTCGGCTTTCAGAATAATCCTGGCCGGCCGCCTCCAACTCTCCAAGAGATGATTCAGATGGCTGCTGAGATTGCTGATGGCATGGCTTATCTGAATGCCAAGAAATTCGTCCATAGAGATTTGGCAGCGCGAAACTGTATGGTGGCTGAAGATTTCACAGTCAAAATCGGAGGTATGGTCACTTTCCAGAATGCTCAGGTTCTTATGGAAACAATTGATCCATTTTTGGTGGCTAATTAGATGAGGTAGGATTAATGAATCGGTGAATTAATAAACAGTTCCAGGGCAACTGGCAGTTAATGTCTCTGATAAAATTCTTTTTTTTTAATTTTTTTTATTTTTTAACAACAAACATTAACAAACATAAACATAAAACAACAAATAAAACCTTCTTTCAATTGTACAGTGTGTCGGTTGGTATATATTTCTTGTGCATAATGTCTGTAGTCTTTTCCTCTTACATTTAAATTTACATTCGAACTGTATTAATCAACTTTCCATATCATGTTATATTATTATACTGTACATCATCATTAGACTTTTAATTTCAATTCCACATTATCCTTTTGCAGCAAATCCTAGTTCTTACTGATTCTAATTCATATTTATAATCCATTCCTAGAATTGTATTTGCTCAAAATTGAAAAAATGAAAAAATTCCGACAGAGGAGGAGGTGATTAAGAAAATAATGGAATGTGCAGAGATTAACATTAGCAATTAGACAGCAAGAAGAAAAAGAATATTATAAAATATGGGATTTATTTTATCAATGGCTAGATAAAAAAATAGGAAAATGAAATATATTATAATATAAATATAATATAATAGTAAATATAATACAATAGTAATGATATGTTAGAATTGGTTCTTATGGAATGACTCTGATAAAATTCTTGATGGGAATTCAACATCTTTCCAATGTTACTGCTTGAGACTGTAGTTTTTTTCCAAATTAATATCTTAGTGCAACATTCTTTTTTCCTCAGACTTTGGCATGACCAGAGATATCTATGAGACAGACTATTACCGCAAAGGAGGAAAAGGTCTGCTGCCTGTGCGCTGGATGGCTCCAGAGTCACTGAAGGATGGTGTCTTTACAGCCTATTCCGATGTGTGGTAAGTAGATACCTGTTGCTTCAAGTCAGTCAGCCAATCCTAATCCTATTGTTACCCTCTCTGTCTCTGAACTAGATGCTTGACTTTAACTAGAATAGAAAAAAGAAGAGAGGCATTGATACCTGCCTGCGGTCAAGATAGCACAAGAGGAGTTCAGCTGCTTTACTTTCAGCTGTTCGGTAGGTGGCATGAAGAATCTCTTCAGTATCTTGCATTCCTTCCTTCCTATTTCCTGCAGGTCTTTTGGCGTTGTCCTTTGGGAGATCAGCAGTTTAGCAGAGCAGCCTTACCAAGGACTCTCCAATGAGCAGGTCCTCAAGTTTGTCATGGATGGGGGTTGCCTTGAATGGCCAGAAAACTGTGCAGAGAGACTGTAAGTATCAAGAGTCAAAGTCTGTTTTTGAAAAAAATAATAAAAAATACACAGGCTGAGGGATTGTGTATTAAACTTGTATTTCCTTAAGATAGTGGAACGCAATGGACTGTATTCCACCTGTCTTAAAGAAATACAAGTCTAATGCATAGCTGCAGATAGTTTCAGGGGCTGTGTAATGGTATGTAGGAATAATCTTGGGAGACAGGGCTCAACCAGACAGATAAAAGGTAACCTAGCCCACAGCAGGAATGTGTGCAGGGCAAGTAGCTCAGAAGAAACCCTCCCTAGTTTCTTCAGTTGTAAAGGGGACGGAAGAAGAAATGTACTTTTAAGTTATTTTTCCATTCCAATGTGGGAAAGAGCTTACATCGGGTTTCTTGGTAGTCTAAAGAGACCAAATGAGTTTGGATTCCTCCTCTGTAACACGACTGTCCAATAGAGAGAAAAAGAAACCTCCACTCCAGTGAGGAAACCTTTTATCTTTTAATTGGGGCTGGAAGCAAGAGTCTGAAATAATTTGCGGGACAAAACCTAACCTAGTTTGTTTGCAATTCCAGCCACAACCTCATGCAGATGTGTTGGCAGTACAATCCCAAGATGCGCCCTTCCTTCATCGAGATCATTGAAATGCTGAAGGATGATCTTCACCTGACTTTCCGAGAAGTCTCCTTTTTCTATAGTGAGGAGAATAAGCCACCAGAAACAGAAGAGTATGAGCTGGACTTTGAAAACATGGAGAGCATCCCTCTTGACCCAGCCTCTTACACTCAGCGGGATGAGATCCTAGGGCGGGATAATGGGCCCTCTCTAGGGTTCAAAGGGAACTATGAGGAGCACATCCCTTACACTCACATGAATGGTGGCAAGAAGAATGGCCGTATCCTCTCCATGCCTCACTCAAGCCCATCCTAATAGCTCCCCTGGCTTTTCCTCATGATACAAATCTCAGGACTTGCAGTATTGCTGGTACAGCATTTGAGACACACCGACTCACTTTCTATTCAGATTTTTAATCATCAAAACAGAATGACCATTTGGGATAGGGGAGGGTGTCTTGTGTGTTTCTGTTCTCTTCTTCTTTTTTGGTGCAACAATTCACTTGCTGTCAGCAGACTTTTATCTGTGAAACAAATGGACAGTTCTGTGGCTGCTGATCTCCTTGTGCGACTCTTGATTTTGAGATGGGAAGTGATTTTACACAGTGACGTCAGAAAAGAGAACTTCGGTCTACCCTTGTTCTGCGCAGAGGAACGACGGGTTCTCTCTACTACTGCAGGGAAGGGAGCCTTGGACTGGATCATTCCCAAGCAGAACCTGAAGCTCTTCTCTTCTGCCAGCCTCTCTGGAGAGCCTCTTTTGTGATTTTTAGCATTTAAAAAAAAAAAAAAGACTGAAGGATCTTCAGGATGTGTGTGGAATATGGTCTGTCTTTTTCCTTTGATTTGACCAACAGCTGCTGCTTTTCTCCTTAATGGATTAACTAACTAGTATGTGTGCCCTGAATGTGTATGTGTGTGCGTATGGAGGTAGAGGTGAAAATGGATAAGTCCTTTTGTACATAAGTTTTATCTAACCACAGAGGTGAGAGGGTGTCCCTGTCCTTCCTGCCTGGCCCAAATTCCTCTGACACGAATGAATTTTGAATACATTATTTTTATACTAAAGAACTCTTTGGGGGGGTTGCATCTCCTCTGCCATTCAGCAAAACGAGGTAGCCAAAGTGGTAGCCAATATTCTGTTTAGGATTTTGTGAGACATTACAAGACTAAACAAGGCAAAACAAGCCAAATTCTCTCCCCTTCTTCTTACCGACCTGCCTCATGACTCTAGAGCTCTGGTTAGCATTAAGTGTATATGTTTGTTGTGACATATTTAAATCATAGATAGTGATCCACCGTATAAATTATTGACACCTTCCTCGATCTTGTTTGTTTGTTTATTTGTTTAGCTTTTGCCCTATCAAGGGGAAAAGAGGAGGAGCTTGCTTGTTTGGTCTTTAAGGGGCCTTAAGTGTGTAAGCTGATTCTGGCAAGTTAAGTGCTAGGAGATATAGTGCACAAACCTGTACTTTAATATTCATATGATAGAGTGGCAAGTGCATATTAATTTTTCAAAATACCCCACCCCCGTTACGCAAATTCTGAAACAGTTGGACACCAACAGTGAAATCAAGCCTTAGCAGCTCTTACCGGAGGTCTCTTAGCTCTGAAAGTTACATGGAGCCTGGCTACCTTTTACTGATTTCTGTTACTCTTCCCCTTCCCAATTTGTGGGGGTTGTTTCAGTATGTGTCTGGACCAGGGAAGAGCTACATAATCTCTCAACTAGAAAACATTCTAGCTAAGGGAGAGAAAAAAGAATCAAAACCAGCTCCTTCTGCTTACATGGAGCAAAGTGATCATGTAAATTGAACTCTGGAACATCCACACGCAGCCTGTGAGTCAGTGGTTGTGGTTTTCCCCTTGGGTTTCTCCTGCCATTTCTGTTTAATAAGCACAGTGTATGATGGGGCCAGAGAGTAAATATCCAGTGGCACACTATCCGCCCCCCAATTTACTTGCACACCTTTGTGTAAAATGAACAGAAGCAACGCAGGCACCTTCCTCAGACCTGCACTCAAACTTCTGTGGAAGAACTGTGTGGAAGAAAATAGGATTTTCCGAAGTGTTATCTGTTCCAGCATTTTGTTCCATCAGTGGTTAACCAGTGCCCCAGTTGGTAACCTCCAAGGAAAGGCAGCCTTGTTGGTCCCAAAACAATTGATGCTCAACTATTACTTATGGATATGGAGCTTGGAGGGTCTGTACTATAGTCTGTTGAAAATTTATCTTTTAAAATCCTGTAGGCCCAAAGACTGCTAGAAGATGAATTTAAAAAGGGAAGCAGAGAAAGATGGCATATTTTTAAAGTTTACCAATTAGAAAGGATATAATCTTTTTACATGTGTGCCAATGCTATCTTCGTTTGTTTCTCCATCAGTGAATATTATGTATTTCAGTCCCCATCGGTATAGAGTATGTGTTCGGAAGTACTTCTCTTGAGGTTATGAAGTTCAGAAGAAGCTTCTGAATTTAGTTTTCAAATGGTGTCTCCCCAATCTCCAGTGCACTTTAACCTTTTTGTTGCCTGCCCATACCTTCCCCCAGTCTTCCCCATAAGTATGTGGGTTCTGTCTTAATCATGTATATCTCTGAAGTTCCAACTTCACATTTCAAGTGCTCTTCAGTGCAAGATGAATCTGTTCATCTGCTGAAAAAGGACCTCACCAGAAGCTTTCTTTATCTTAGTTTTCCTGTGTTTTACATAAGCTTTTAATTTTTTTTCCTTATAATGTGAATTTTTATGAAAAATTAAACAACAAAAGGATTGTGTTATCATTATTAAAAAAAAAAAAGCAAATTTTAGGAGTTTGGGTTTCAAATCTGTTTAAACCTTAAACTCTTGAACTTGTCAGTGTTTTACAATTAAGCCTTGCAGGCTAGCAGAGCTGGTGTGTAGCTCTTCTTATTTTAGCCCATCTGTTTCTCCAATTAGTTGGCATGAAAGAAGAAGGATGGTCTCCAGGGATTTTCTCTTTTTCACTTCCCTCTTTCATCCTGAAGTGCTTCTAGATTTATTTATTTTTTTGGAAGCAAAACAATGTTCACCCAACATTTGAGAGTGATCATCTCACCTACATAATTGCTTTATTGATTTTGGGGGCTAGGGGGAGATGAGAAATTAAAACTAATGAGTTGTCTTAAAATCCTAAAACAAGCATTTCTAGATAATTTTATATCGTCCAACTGGATATCCTTACATGGAGAAGTCTGAACTAGCATCCCTGTGATTGAGAACATGGACGTGCCAGTGCTTTGAGTCTTTGAGGGAGGAGAGCTTGAGCAGATCTGACCATCCCAAAGAGGATTTCTGCTCTTCTTGTAGGCATAGCAGAAAGGTTGCCTTAGAAGCCCATCAACTTCTTCCCAGTTCATGTGTGTATATGATCACAGAACACAGTTTTTGATTGTTGGGTTTTTATATATAAAAAAGCCTCTTGTTTTAAAATAAAGGATCAACATGTGCCATGGTTTTGAAAAAAAAAAATAGAGAATATACTCACTTGATTTATTTTTTCAGTGCTTTCATATAAGAGTCGAGCAGTGATATGTACAGAGAGTATCTTTGAATATAAAAGTAAAAATTTGCTGTGTGTAAAATATTAAACAATTAACTGTTTATATTAAAAATAAATTCTGAATAAATTATCCAAGGATATATCTAACAGAGAGCTCCTTTTGTCTTTTTTGTTCACTGGCATCCATTCTTTACGAGTAGAAAAAGCTTGTGTGGAATTTACAGCCATTTCTATCTGGAGATGCAAAGTGTTTGACCCCTAAAGACGTTTTCACAGAAGTTCCTTTACATTTGATTATGTTGTCAGGATTTGAAAGCTGGCCAGCATTCTCCACATCCACCACCGCCCCCCTTTCACCCATTTCCTTGTCTTTGCGTTTTCTTAAAGATGGCTTTAAACAAAGGTGAGGCTAGTTATATTTGATTTTTTTAAAAAATTCTTTTGGGGGGTCTTGTTACCACATGATTTTGGGTTCTTTGTGGTTTTCTTGGCTAGAGATGGGAATGTTGCTACTTTGGTTTGTTTAGTTAAAAAGGATCCCTTGGCAATTGTTTTGCTCTTGAAATCTGATCCAGGGAGTATGGATTTTTAGACCAATAAAACACCCTGTTTTTCATTTCAATGTCATGCCAGGTTTTTTTTGTGTTGTTATTTTATTTCCTTGCCCTTAAGATGAGTATCGCATAAGATAAAGGTGACTAAAAACGTGATGCTTACACTAATGTTCGGTGGTGGGATTCAAAAAAATTTACTACCGGTTTGGTGGGTGTGGCTTGATGGGCATGGCAGGGGAAGGATACTGTAACATCTCTATTCCCACCCCACCCCAGGGGAAGGATACTGAAAAATCCCCATTTCCTCCCCACCCGACTAACCTGCTTTCCAGCTCCGCTCTCCTGCGCAGGACAACAAAAGGAGACCCAGCCGATCAGCAGAGAATAGATGGGGGTGGGGCCAGTCAGAGGTGGTATTTCCAGGTTCTCTGAACTACTCAAAATTTCCACTACTGGATCTCCAGAACTGGTCAGAACCTGATGAACTCCACCTCTGCTCATGTTGGTGTCCAAACTCATAATAGCATCCAGCCACAAAATTAGTGCGAAAGGTGACTTGTGAGAAGTGAATGAATCAATCTTGGGAGGAGAGTAAGACGGCAGATGTTGCCCAAGAAAAAGGAAGTGTTGTGTTTAAAGCTCTTCTGCAGTGAGTGTGTGGACTGGCTTTTGCCACCAAGTTTATTTTGAATGCCCGAGGAGAAATAAGTGGCACAGGGAGATTTTCAAAGAGGAGAAGCCATGGGGCAGATATTCTGGGTAAGTGCCACATAAATGTGGTTTTGAATTTGATTTCATAACTAACTTGTTAGAAAACAATAGTTGAAATCCAGAACTGTTCTTAAAGGAAGATTAAGCAAAAAAAAGGAAGTGAGAGACAAAAACATGTTTTGGGCCATAGATGAGATGGTGGTATTTTATGGCTAGTGCAAAACAACAACAGTGAGGTGCTTTTGAACAGAACTTGAATCTAGGGCTTTTCTGCAATTGCATTCTTCAAGTATTTGGTTTTTCTTTTTTCTTAAATAATTCTGGAAATTTGGAAGCTTTTTCACTTCACTGTGCCTTCTAATAAAGGCATTATATTACTGGCAGTTCTGGTTACATTTCTAATGAACTGGCACTACTATCTGCATGCTTAAAATGTAAATTACATTAGTTGTATAGCCTGGCTAATGAGCTGCTTCAAAGGTATGCTTCCAGGAAGAGGAGATCCTGAGGCGTTCATCTTGCTTGTTCTTTGCTTTATTTGTGTGTAAATAGTTTTAATGTGAGCTGCTAACCAAACATGTTGCATTTGAAGTTGCAAAGGTTGCATAACAGGCGGAAGATTAAAAAAAAGTCTGCTCAAAATTACTTAATTGCTCTCCCTATGGAGATTAATTAACTTGGTCTGTTGCAGCAAAGACCTGTTAAATAGGCTAATGTGATATAACAAAGTATTGGCCCAGGACCAAAGAGGCCCAGATTCAAATCCACCCCATCAACTTTGCCATTTTCTACCTTAGCCCAACCTATTTTACAAGGTGGTTGTTGTAGAGAAAAACTGGAGGATGTACACCTCTTTGATCTCCTGGAGAAAAGGCACAATATAAATCTAATACCGGTAGTCCTCAACTTACAACCGGCCATTTAGTGACCATACAAAATTACAATGGATTATCCAAAAGCTACTTATGACCGAGTTTCAAAGTTCTGATGTCTCACACACACCCCTCGTAGTTACATGACCAAAATTTGGACACTTTGCATTTATGGCCATTTGTACTGCCCAGCAGTCATGTGAACGTGAATTGTGACGACTTTGCTGGAAACTGGCATTTACCTCCAGTTTCTGCCAAAATCAACCCCTAGCTAACAAGGGGTTGACTTAATGATTATGGTGTTCACTTAATAAAGTAAAAAAGTACCACCTTATAAAGCCTTAGTGAGGCCATACCTGGAATACTGCATCCAGTTTTCGTCACCGCATTACAAAAAATATGTTGAGACTTTGGAAAAAGTGCAAAGAAGAGCAACTAAGATGATTAAAGGCCTGGAGACTGAAACATAATGAAGAGCGATTGCAGGATTTGTGTTTGGCTAGTCCAGAAAAAAGAAGC